CAACCCTTGGCAAATTCTCACATAAATTTACCTTGCTAGGTTTTCCTTGTCTCCTGAGTTTGCATTTCAAAGTCTTACTCAGTTCTGGTCTTTTTTTCAGAAATGCTTGCATGTCCTTTATTCCATTAAAGGTTTATTTTTGCACGCGCGCACAGACACACACACACACACACACACACACAGAGCTTTGCCAGTTATTCATGGTTATGAGCCCATTTTTTGCCCTTCAGACTACTGTATTACAGGATTTTCTTTCATTCACTGCAGATACTGCCAGTTTTTCTGCCAAAAGCAGCACGATACTTACTGTGATTCCTTGGTATTGAAGCTGCTTTATTCTGGGATTGCAGTATTTTTCCTCTGACATGAGGCCTCTGGACTTTGGCATCTATGTCGCTGGTTCTTCTCCTTCACTTTTTTTTTTTTAAGGTGAAAAGAATCAGCAAATTCTTTGCTTCTAATAGCTTTCATTTGTGTATAGGTTTTTTAAAATTGCTTTCAAAAGTCCAGTACTTTTAAAATTATTTCTACTTGACCTATTTTCTAGGCCAATTTTAAAAAATATCAGATATTTTATATTTTTGTTCTTTATAATCTTTTGATTTTGTGCAAGGATTTCTTACTGTTTTAATGCAGTTGATTTTTTTTTAATTTTGATTTAGGAGTCTCAATATCTACAATAATTTGTTTATATTGGTTGGAGTTTTCTTGAATTTACTAATTTTTTGCTTTAGCTTCTAAAGTGAGATTTTTTTTTTTTTACCAGAATGGGGATCCACTCCCTATTGAACTTTGGTCCTATTGGTTTGGTCCCATTTGTTGGTCCTATTGGTCTCACCCTGGGTTCCCTGGAGTTTTGTATTAACTTCCACTTCCCAAGGTTAGACCCTTCTGGATCTTTGATGTTCAGAGCATTGGGTCTTCCTTCTACAGCATCTTAGTACAAACGGCCAGAGACTTCATGTCCCCTGGGAACCTGGGCTGTTCTTGATTGAGTGCTACCGTGTGACTCTGATTGCTGTCTGGGCTTTCAAGGTCCCCATTCTGAGGCTTTCTCTGGGGTCCCTCTGTTTTTGCTCACTCTAGTCACAGAGCCTTGCAGGGTCTTTGGGACAGTGCTGGCCACAATGGTAGGCTAGTCTTGTTTGCCTGTGCTGGCACTGTCTTTGCTGTGACACCCTTTCTTTCTGCTCAATAGCTTCTGGCTGACTTTTTGTGCAGTTTTAGGTTGGAATAAGTCATATACTCTAGTTTCTCAATAGAATATCTTACTCATTATTCGATCTGGTGTGAATTTCAGGTTTCTCCTGGAGATGGTATGTGGCAGTCATATCATCTGTCTTCACTCAGGCAACCATATCGGCCAGAAGTTCCCATTGTCTATTGAAAGACCTTGGAAGAACATGAGGAAAAACTAATCAAAGTGTCTGGTTGGCTAGAGGAAGCTGGTCTGAAACTGTCAATTAGCAAATGCTAGTTTGGCAAAGCCTCTGTCTGGTATATGCATCAGTGTCTTAATAGGGAGTGAGTACTGATCCAGAGAAGGGCTTACTATTTGGTTATATCCAAAGAACCTCTGTGAACTATGTTTTTTGAGGGTGTAATTGCTAGAAAAAAATTTGAAGAATTTTGCTATCTTTGCTATGACACTCAATCTCACTTATCAGCATGTAATTGGGAAGAACCAATGGCAGAAAGGCAAGAAAGATCAAATTGGCTTGAGCCTTTCAGTACCACTTGGAGATCACTGGGGTTAGGAGCATGAACAAACTTCCAAAGATTTTGTTTACTGCTTCACTCATGAACCAATGTTGACCCATGTGAACCTGAGCAAATCTTTGTCCTATATATTCATAACTAGCCTAAAATACTTGGTAACAATCTTATGCTTGAAGCATGACTGCAATCAGAAACTTAATGAATTTTCTAATAGAGGATTTGTGGACAATAAGACTCAGAATAAAAGCTAGAGTCCTTGGCTTTGAATTGGGCTATCAACGACAAGTTCAAAAACTACACATATGAAGCCATATTTAAAGTAAGGACAAACACTACTCATTGACCTACATTTTAACCAGTGCCAATCTAGATATGATCTGCCAGGAATGTGTAGCAGTATTAGCCAATTAAGAGTTCAGTATACATCCCATATTAAGTAGTTTAAAGACTTGGCAATGTGCCAGTTAAGATAGTAAGGAGAGTACTCAGAGACTCTCAAAGACAATGTAATATATAATATATGAAGTACATAAAACTTAGGTTGATTTAGACTTGAATGCAATGGAACTTAAAAGATGATTTAATGTTTTCATGTTATAAGGAAGTGACAAATCTACTTTAAGCTTAATATCTGCTGTAACCTTAATATCATACCTACTCTAAGTCAGTTTAAATACAGAAGGAATTTAAGGAAGAGTCTCAGAAAGTGAACAAGCAAAACTAAATCATATGGAAAAATGAAGAGAAAGCAAGGTGGATTAAAATAATTTATCCTAAAATGGCAGACACAAAAGAATCTTAAAGAAGGTGAGAAGAGTGAGTGATTCCCATAACATACTTGACTGTGAGAGAAAAGAAAAAAAATTATACCAGTACAAGTGGAGTCCCAGGATCTATCTGTCTTTGCTGTTGACAGGAGAAGTAATGGGGATTATGATTAAGATTGGATGATTATCATGTATAATATTATATGTTTTATTATTATGGGGTCCCCACAATATGATCCCTTCCTCCACAAAATCTATGTTATAATTCAAGTACTCATTAGGTCAGCACCTATTCAAATCCATATAATGTTCTGCTGTAACAGATAAAATCAGATCATACATTAATTCAAAGCAAAAATTAATTATAAAATAGAATAACAAAGTAAATACTAAGTAAGATTTCCCCTGCCTCACAACACCCCAGTATCTACAAGGGTACACATCAAAAATGAGAAGGGAGATTCTCCTTCCCAGACAATTCATGCTCTCAATTACATCCTAGCTGGAATACCTTTCAGTCTTCAAAGGTTGCTAAACTGTTTTGTCACTGAGCTACCGAGGCTAGATGCTTTTCCTTGGCAAGGAGGGCAAAATGATGTTTCTTCTATTTGAAGCCATCCCATATCTCAGGCTATTTTAGGTCTTATGAGAGGCTGCAACATGGTATAGTGGATAAATCACTGGACTTGGAGTCAGGAAGACTTTAAATTTGAATCCTGCCATAGTAATATGACCCTAAGCAAGTCACTTAACCTTTCTCAGCCTGTGTTTTGTAAAATGAGGGTACTAAATAGCACTTGCCTTACAGAGTTGTGCAGATTGAATGAAATACATTTAAAATGCTTTCCAAGTCTTATAGCACTATATATATACATACATATATATGTATGTATATATTTTGTATGTATGAATTTGAGCCCACTTAATGGTATACATACATACACCTATGTATATATATATATGTATACTCACACTAGCTGCTATTATTATGTGAATTAGGACCACAGCCATATATACCCAATATGTATAGCAAAAAGTCCCTTAAAGTAAAATCTATCTTTTCTTAGAAAAAAAACAGAATTTGAATGGAAACTCCTCTATAGTCACTTCATATTTGGGTTAGAGTGAATAATTTCCCTGTCTTCCTATCATGCCTGTGCCACTTTCGCTATTATCAGACAAATTTATTCTACAGCTTCACTAAGTACCCCTGGAAGAGTGGGGTGAAGCTGTACACATTTACTCTGAACTGCTGTGGTCATGCTCATGTCACTACACGTCCTTATACTTACAATGTATAATAAGTTTTATCTATTAGCAGGTGATGGTTTGCTAACTGCACAATCTTTTGATATTTTCTGGTACCAGGTAAGAAATAGAAAAGTTAATCAATTGAAGAGATTAGATAAACAAGACCTATTAGGAAAAGTATATAGCAGTCTAATCTTTGATTAACTCGAGAAGACAAAGTATTGGGGAAGTAACTTTTCAATAAGAACTGCTGGAAAAACAGGATAGCAAATTGGCAAAGAATGTGTTTATAGCATCACTTAACCCATGCACCACAATACATTCTAAATGTATAAACAATCTAAATAGAAAAAAATGCATCATTAGTAAGGGCAACCCAGAAAATTATATTTTTGGGACTGTGAATAAGAGATTAATTTATAACGAGTCACTAGACAATCCACTGTCACTTCTAAGTCTGGGGTTTTATGATTAACTTTTCATTTTAAAATTATGATACATGCAATAAAAAAGAAGAAAAGAAAAACATAAACAACATAATGTTTCCCTCATGATACAGAAAAAAGACGAAGTCAGTGTTTGAAGCCCTCAGTATTTGTCATCAGCTAAACTCAAGAGCTCATCATTAGTAGCCTATGAAAACAGATAGATTGGAAATAGTGCTAATGAACAGAAATTTATTTTTATTGACATAGATTTTTGTGAAAATTATTTCTTCATAATAGAAAATAATCAGGTGAGTGATGTTTAAAATCAAAATTCTGTCTCAATTATTTAATTTCACTCACTTCTTTTATAAGAAAATCAGGCATGACAAGTTTTTACTTCACTGATGTGATTACTCATCATTATCTATGACAACTTATTTGCTGCCCTTCATGGCCAATTGATGCATAGGAAGTAGTGGTTCAATATGACTTCTGATTAAATCATTAACAAAATGTATATATGGGAATACAACATAGAAAACTTCCAAATTTCATCTGAAAGGGCTACATTTTAATGTTATAAGAGTTAGAACACTTGACTTTTCTCTTCAACTACTCATTTAAAATGATACTTTCAAAAAAAAATAAACATCTACTGTGTGCCTTCCCCTATCTTCTGATTCCTTATCAGAAAGATAACACCCACATAGATGTAATCTTCAAGTGCACAACTGAACCAGGGAAAATCTGGAATTAATTACAAAGTGTTTTTGGTTCCTAATGCAGCTGTTACAAGTGTTTGATTTGGCAAATGATCATAAAAGGCAATGCATACCAATTTCATGAGCAACTGTAAAAGCTGCATGGAGACCATCATCCTCAATCACTGCACAGCTGCGCTCAGGAGAACATATGGTCCCAACATCTGCCATTCCAAGAGTATCACATGAATGATGTCCACATAAATCCTGTAAGGGAGAAAAAAAAAGAAATCATTAAAATCAATTTACATGCAGGAAAAGCCACTATGAATAGTTACTTGCTCTCCCAAAGAGCAAGAATTTGGATAAATGTAAATGTCACCTGTTCCTCCATGGCAGGTTTCCAAGAATGATCCGAGAGTATCAGGCTTTCAGAACTATTCTGGGCTACTGAAGCACAGAAGTTGTATAATGAGGTTCAATTATATTTAAAAAGGTACCTTAAGTTGTATTTTTCATTTTACAATAGTAGCATTAGTAAAGCCAAAATACATACATTCTTTAACATACAGAATAGTTAGATTTCATTTTGGAAAGGCCTCTATATTCAATTTTGTATTTAACCTGATCAATATGTCAAAGGATTCATCACTACAGGTACAAATTACAATATATCTTGGAATGTAAATATTCTAGTTGATTAGAAAAAAATCCAACCTTATCTATTCTAAATTTGCATCTATAAACAACAATTCAATGAATGACCATTTCTAAAGGAAGTTGTAATTTCATAGGGAACCATTAAGTGGGTGATGTTTGTAAATTAGTGAAATGCTCTTTCATTCATTCAAAACATTGGTTAAAAAAATCTTGACTCCATAGGAAAAAAAAACACAAGAAAAACTATTGAAATATGAATTTTAAAAGAAAAGAGATATCACAAATCAGCAGTAGCAGCAGAGACTGTCAGTTTTGTAAATATATAAGGTTCTAAATCACAATCATATTAATCCGATTATTTTAAAATAATCTGTTTTTAGCTGCCAGATTTTTATTTTTAATGAGAATCATTTTTTAATAATTCTACTATTTTAAAGTGGTAGTGGAAAAGTACGGCTTTGGAATCAGAAGATCTTGGTTCTACTGCTTGTTTGCCCTTGGACAAGTCATTTAATCCTTTCTCTCAATTTCTTCAACTGATAAAATTGGGGATTGAACTGGGTGACCTTTAAGATCCCTTCCAGTACTATAAATCTAGAATACTAAATTATAAGGTAGTATTTTAAGTTATCTTTAAAATATTCATGATTTATATTATAAAGGTAATATTGCTTAAATATTACCATATGCTTTTTTTTTACTCAAGTCAATATGGAAAATATTGTCAATAAGGGAAACTATTCACACTAAAAGAAGGCCCCCTTTTAAAAATTTAAAACCTGGGAAATTTAAACATAAAAGCAAATATGATTACATTTATGGAGAACACATAACACTGTGCCTGACACATAATGGGCACTCAATATTGAACCTAAAAGACCAGGGGACTGGACTGATTCAGACCAGAACAATTTCATAACTGCAACTTTTTTGAAGTCTTCAGATATGTTTTTAGAATGCCAAAATCCAAAGTTATATTCTCTCTCTCCTCTACAAGATTACAAGCTACTTTATTACTTTTGTACTCAGGACTGAGTCCAGTGCTTTATACACAGCAATTGCTTAATAAATGTTGGTTGAACTGAATTCGGTTAATATGGTATTCTGAAATAATAATGCGGCAACATTGCATAATGGACAAATAGAGCACTAGTTTGGAAATCAGAAAGCTTACATTCTGGTCCTGATTCTGTCACTAATTAGTTGTATGACCTTAAACATGTCATTTTACTTCTCTTACCCTCAGTTTCTCCGCATATAAAATAAGGGGACTAGATTACATTATGCCTAAGGTTCCCTACAACTCTAACTTTTTTGTTGTTTTGGCTAATATTGTCCATGTACTGTGTATGGTATAGACTTCCCCTCCAAATATTCCCAGGTTCACTTTCTTCTTTGGCTGTGGGTTTCTCGCTCACCTGACTTACACTCAACACAGACGTTAGGGTGATTTTCAGTAGGCGTAGTCATGTAGCTACTACTCTCTCTGAGTCCTCAGAGTAACCCTGTGAGTTGTTTTTGTTCTTTTCTTGATCTTCATCTTCCCAGCAATAAGTCAACATAGAAAGCAGAAAACATTTTCTCTATTCTTTCTTCAAGTGGTAGTAGAAAACCCCCTATCCTCTCATTGGCCAAACTGCCCAACAAGTGACAGGGCAGAGAAAGAGTTACATTTTCCCTTTAACAAAGAGTTTTTAAATCTGTCTTTTCACCTCCAACAAATAATCTGCAGCTGGGTCCTCTTTGCAACCTCACCTTAGCTTAGTAACCAAATCTTTATAGTTTGTTTTTAATCAGATAAATTACATTTGTCCCATAATTGTAGAGATGTTTGTGTCCATATTTCTCCAAGTATTATCCTAAAAATTCTCTAATTTTTGATATGCAAATCAATTGGGAAGACTACATACTCCATTCACTCAAATGTTCTACCGCTCATCACATGTAAATTGCTGTATCAATATTCAGAGTCAGACAACTTAGTAATTGCTTCTCCAGAATGTTAAGTACTTAAGCCCCAAACAAGTGAATTGTTAAGGATCATTTCCTTACACTAAAATCACTGAGTAGTCCATTTTAAAAAGTTAAGTATCATGAAAATATAATTGTTCTGATGCACTCCCTAAAATTTAATAACAGCTCATTATTTTAGAATGTTTGACATCACTTACTTCCCCTCATAAAATAATTTAACCTTATATGTTGGTGATGGTGTGAAAGATAACTAGTTAAGGTTAACAACTCATGTATAAGGTTATGACAATAAACAGAAACCAATTTTTAAAGGTACCAAAGTATTCTGAATTATTTAGTTAAATAACTGGTTAGCAATTAGTCACAACATTGCAAATTACAAACTTTTTAACTGTTGATCAGACTTGTTTTATAACCAAATCAGTCTTGTTTCATAACCTGTTTAAACCAAATCATGTGTGTAGAAAGAATTACAACCTTATGAGGGCCCTATTCAATATAGAGTTCATTTAGATCAGTGTTATATAGTACAATCACTCTAGAGGTGACAAAGATATCACATTTACTTGTCTAATAAAGATATTTTGAGGAAGTGTTGTACAAGCTTTAACATGCCAAACAAATGTGTTATTATAATTGTTATTATTACTCTTGGACCCAAGGTTTCATCAGTATAAGGAAATCCAGATGAGGAGACCCCTTTACCAATGAAAATGTGCAACTGTTTTTCAATTTATAATAAAAAAATAAACTTACAGTATAAAATATTTCTACATGCAAACAAATATAGTTAAGCACCAAAATCTAATTGATAAAATTAAAAATAATATAAAATTATTCTATTTTCCTTCTTGCTTTCATCTTTAAAAAAAAAGTACTAACTTGCAAAGCTTCATAAAAATAAAATGTTACCTATTTATAAACAATGTAGAAATAATTAGAATTGCAAGCTTGTGTTAAAGAGTATCTGGGGAACACTGGGAGTTTAAATGATTTTTCTCCCACATGTCCAAAAGCCAGTATCAGAGTTTTTAAATTCCCCCTCCAGTTTGTTATCCCTTCTACCATGCTACATTTCAGTAATAGTATTCCTGACGATAGCTACTGAAGGAGAACAAGATGTGCTGACATCTCATTCTCTCACACCTACCCTATCAACAGACAGAATTGGAGACCTGCTATGATTTGTGTTCACATACCAGCTTTCTCTGGTTCCTCTTCATAGTATCATCAGGAATAGAGATGGACTTTTCTGGTCCTTATAGAACATTCTCCATAAACTTCCTACTTGACCCAGGATTCTTGCTCTGAGTCTGACTTTCCAGTGTGGCAGATTACTTGTTATAAGGTTTACATAAGAGAGTAGTGGATAGAGTCAGTCTTGGAGTTAGGAAGACCTGTATTCAAGTCCTGATTCTGACATATTAGTTCTGTAATTATGGGCACATTACTTATTCTCTCAGTGCACCAGGCAGCTCTTTAAAGCTCTAAGTTTACAGACAAGCTAATGATCAATGGAGGGGTTCTATATGGGGACTTTGGAATACTAATGAAATAACAGATCTGGACTCCTCAATAAAGTTTGAATTAATTTAAAAAAATTAGTCCCTCAAATTCTGATTCTATTGGATATAGTTTAAACCAATTAAAATTATGTAGCATAGGTCTAAGAATTATAAAAATATTGCAACATTTATTCTAGCTGCCACAGTAATACTGGAGTTGCCTCTGAGTTTTTAGATGGGTATGCATTTTTAGATGCAACAAGTATGTCCATCAGAAAAATTTTAGGCAGAATTAATAGTCGTCTTAAAAATCTCAGTGAATAAAACCACATTGAAATTATAAAATACTTGAGGCAGCTAGATGGCGCAGTGGATAGAGCACCTGACCTGGATTCAGGAAGACCTGAGTTCAAATCTGACCTCAGACACTTGTCACTTACTAGCTGTGTCACCCTGGGCAAATCACTTTACCCCATTACCTCACCAAAATAAAATTATAAAACACTCTGGACTAAAATTGGATAGGAAAAAATGGAACTGTTAGGGAAACTTAATGGTGAAAAGAAACAAAAAACTATATTATAAAATTTTTTTCTTCGGGGAATTACATTGCTTCATAAAATTCTTAACAATTCAGTCTCAGGCTCTCAACTATGACTAGTTAATCTGTTAGCAGTCTTCTTGTGTCTAAACTGCCTAGCTTTTTTGAGATTGGAACCAAAATGTAGGCTCTAATGACTCGATAAGGTTCACTTTTGACCTAGATGAGCTTTGAGTACAAATGTATGATAATTAGTGAATGTGAACTAATCTCCCACCCTACCTAACCTCTTACTCAAGTGGTTTGGTTTACAATATCTATAATATAGAAATAGCTTTTGATAAAGTATCCATCAATATTTGCAGGGTGAGAAAAGACAAATAATTTTCTGTTCTGTAAACAGATTAGAAAGACATTTTGCTTCTAAAGAAGAATGAATAACATGCTATAGTAGCAGAAACCAAGAACAAAGAACTGATTCTGCAAGGCAAAATTTAATCTTAAAAAAATCATGTTTCTGTTATTTTAGGGCAAAAGTGACGTGAATTTTTGCAAAAATACTATTCCAAAAGGAAAACATTTTTGTA